CTTTAATTGTTTCCATTCTGAGAAACCATCATCCAGTCTAAGGTTCCAAAGATTGGCATCAACATTTTGTTATAAGAATTTTATAGTTTATGGGTCACCTAGGGGGCTTAGTTGGTTAAACATCTAACTCTTGATTCTGGCTCAGATCATGATCTCAGGGTCATGAGACCAAACCTGTGTCAGAATCTGTGCTCAGATTCTCTCCCCCTTTCGCCCACGTGCATGCTCGCTCTCATTCTCTCAAAAAAAAGAAAAAATTTACAGTTTTAGCTCTTACATGTAGATCTTTAATCCATTTTGAATTAATTTTTGCCTCCATCCACTCTTACCCCAGTTAATTGTCATTTACTGACATGACTCTACTAAAGTGACAAAGTCAGAATGTTCTTAAATCTTTGGGTCATTCTTCTTAAACCCTTTAGTAGCTTCCAATCATACAAAGAATAAAGCCCAAACCCTTTGGCTTATAAAATAGGCCTATTGTGATCTGTCTGCCCCCCTGCTCAGCTCGCTGGCCTCATCTTCTGTCTATCCCTCTGTTCTTCCTTCCCTATAGTCCAGCCATGCTGAAGGCCTCAGAGTGGCCCAGGCAGGTCAAGTCTTTAACTGTTTTAGGACTTTGGGGTCTGTCTCTTCATGTGGCTGACCCTCCTTACTCTCAGATCATCATTGTCTTGTCATATCCTCAGGTAGGCCTTCTTGAGCACCCTTAAACCAGGTACTTGTTTGTCCAGTGCTCCATTCTTTGCCTTTACTGAACTTTGGGAGGGGTAATTCCCTGCCTTTGGTTATTTACTGCTCTATTTGCTGCTTCTTTCCCTTGTAAGGTAAGATCAGAGTAAGAATTGCCCATTTGCACACTGTTATTTACATAACCCCTGGCACAGTGGACACTCAGTAAATTGAGTGAATGAATGAGGTGTGCCCAATATATTGAAAGTATATTTCAGTTGATTATAAAATGAAAGATTTCTTATGGCGAATAAATCTGGTCTTCAGATTCTTCCATATGTTTTACATTTTTAAAAAATTTTATTTATTCATGAGAGACAGAGAGAGAGAGAGAGAGAGAGAGAGAGGCAGAGACACAGGCAGTGGGAGAAGCAGGCCCCATGCAGGGAGCCTGATGCGGGACCTGATCTCGGGACTCCAGGATCACGCCCTGGGCTGAAGGCAGGCGCTAAACCGCTGAGCCACTCAGGGATCCCCTGTTTTTCTATATTTTGATGTTTATCCACAGTAGGTTGTAGGATGGAAAGATAGAACTTAACAGTTTGCTCATTTTGTTGACAAGGTGGATGCAAAACTTTCATGGGAAAAGTGCAGTTTGAAATGATTTGCAAGGGTGTTAGGTATCTCAGGAATAAGAGTTTTTTAAAAAGAATGTTTCTGAACATTTGGGTGACCCAGTGGTTGAGCATCTGCCTTTGGCTCAGGGCATGATCCTGGAGTCCCGGGATCGAGTCCCACATCAGGCTTCCTGCATGGAGCCTGCTTCTCCCTCTGCCTATGTCTCTGCCTCTCTCCTTCTCTCTCTGTCTCTGTCTCTCTCATGAATAAACAAGTAAAGTCTTAAAAAAAAAAAAAAAAAAGAAAAAGAAAAAGAAAAAAGAATGCTCCTAGATCAGAAGTTCAGTATACATTTTGGTCACTTGTTAAATATCTTTTAAACCATGTAAGCCCTTTGTTTTCCTTTACCACTATGGCAACGTTGTCTTACCACTTAACAGGTTTACAGCCATTGTTATATGGAAGTAATATCTGTTAGATCTTAATATTATCTCCTTTCAACATAATTGATGGAACATTTTGGTTGAATTTTATCCTGAAGAGAACTGTTCTTCATGTGTATTCAGAGTTAGAGGTGGGGGAAGGACTTTGGCAAAGAATTTTTTGTGCTCTTGAACATTATTTAATTCCTGACTCTTAACCAAATCTAGAAGTGTTTACCTTGAGTTAAGCACTGTCATGAGTGTTGGTTTGCCACAAGAGAACATGATAGTTGGGAGAACAAGAAGAGGAATGTCCTTGTTCATTTGTTTTTGAGGGCCTGCCTCCATTTTGTTAATTCGGTTAATATTTGTTCCTTTTCTAAGACACTAAGCTTCCAAAGCAGAATTTACTTGCTAGGTAGGTGATACTGAGCTAGAAAACTAATACGTATGCTGTTAATTATATATAAATGGTGCACTTGAACTGCCTTGTTAGGAATATTTTAAAGTTGCCACTAATGAAAATTTCTCTCCTTTAAAGCAGAATTGAAATTTAATTTTATTTACTCCATGTATACATTTTCCCATTTCCCAGTCCATAACTTAGATTCACTGAGGAGAGATGTTTATTAGAATCTCATGTTAAATGTAAAAAGTGAGTCAATTCGAAACAACTGGCTCAAAGGTTTGGTCATTTTTTTTTAAGATTTATTTATTTGTTTATGATAGACATAGAGAGAGAGAGAGGCAGAGACACAGGCAGAGGGAGAAGCAGGCTCCATGCCGGGAGCCCGACGTGGGACTCGATCCTGGGACTCCAGGATCGCGCCCTGGGCCAAAGGCAGGCGCCAAACCGCTGAGCCACCCAGGGATCCCCGGTTTGGTCATTTTTAACTAAGTATAAAAAAGTTGATTGTTGGAATTCACATAGTGGAAAAGTATCCTGGAAATAAGAAAATAGGTATTTGGGAGCAAGATGAAGACATGTTAAAACTTCGTTGTAAATTTGGTTCTTGCTGGCATTTAGTGACTGACTGGCAATTGTTTTCTGTTTGTATCAGCAAACTAGAGCTTTTGAGAATGTTTAAGGTTTTTAGACTGTTGGGCACTATGGGAATAAATAGGATAGTTAAAATCTGTTTCTGAGCTAATTCACAGCTATATTTTTCCTGCCTTTTTCTTCTCTCTTTTTTTTTTTTTTTTTAAATAAAAGATTTTATTTTAGAGGGAGAGAACACAGGTAGGTGAGTGAGGGAAGGACAGAGGGGGAAAGAGAGGGAGGGGAAAGCATCTTGAGCAGACTCCTCTCTGAGCAAAGAGCCAGGACCCTGACATCATGACCTAAGCCAAAACCAAGAGTTGGATTCTTAACCAACTGAGCCACCCAGGTACTCCTTTCCTGCCTTTTCCTAAGGTGACCACATGAACCAATGATCTGTTTGTCTTACTCTCAGACTGACAGGCTTGTAGCTGATTTAAAAAAAAAAATTATCCATATGTGTTACATTCTACCCTGATGAGAGCTCTCCCACAGTTAAAAGGATTTTGGTTCTTTAGCAATGGAAGAAATTATTTGGACTTCAGGTATTTTTTTACTTTTAATGTGAAATATTTTCAGATACCTTGGCTTTATTTTTGTCAGGTTAACTCCCCTTTCCATGAATCTTACCTAGATTTGGAAAGAATGAGCGCTCAAAGAATTAGTTCTCTTTTACTGTTTTCAGGGTGTAAAGACACAGGTAAATCTCTTTATGCCCTTGGCATTTTGCTAATGATGTCATATGTAATAGTGCTTCAGCTTTTCCTTTCCAGTGGTTTAAATTGCCACAGTAGCGGAAGCTCCAGGTCATACACATGTTTTTGTGTACTGAGGAGGTGACAAAAGGGCTGTCCATGTTACCTCTTCTGTAGCTGCATGGCTGTCTAGCTGGTGTGGGGTTCCTTATATTCATCTTGCTTTGCTTCCAAAATTCAACATAGGGATGCCTCCAGCCATCAGCTTAATCTTAGTAAGGCAGAAGTCCTCACTGGGCCCCAAGTCTCCTTGGTTTGTTCTTTCTCCTAGCTTAGGATATTAAGTTGTGTTTGACAGTTGTCAGAGAAGCAGTTCTGATACAGGAAAAAGTATATAGGGCTTCAAGTTGGAGGATATAGTGTTGACATGTAGTTATTTAGCCACTTAAATGCTGGTTATATGAAATAAATGAATGTGTACCTTGCAGTGCTGTTGGAGGATATGAATGAAGAAAAGCATGTGAAAGTACTCAGCTTCATACCAACTTACAATTAGAGAGCAGTACCACTGTTTATTGAGCTTTTACTGTATTATGGAATGTTCTAATAAACACTATAGGTATTATCTGATTGAATCTTCTCGATAACCCTATAGAGTAATCCGAACTCTGTTCAACTCATGGGGAAGTTCAGAGAGCCAAGTGTTGTGTCCAAGGTCGCACACCTGCTAAGTGCTACTGTTGGGATTTGAATCTGATCTTTATGAAAAGCCTGTGTATGTAAAACTGCTTTCTTTACAGCAGGCTTGAGTCCTTAGAAGTGGTCATTCCATTTGCATTTCTTTGAAGACTGAAAGACTGATTTTTCCATTTGTTAACCAGTTGTGTTTTCTTCTTGTAATGTGTCTATAGATGCCTTTGGCCCATTCATCTGTTTGGATCTTTGCTGATTACCTTATGAATTGGCACAAACTCCTCATGTATTATATACTTAACACTTCTGTGACTATACTTGAGGCAGCAAATGACATTCATCATCCAAACATACAAAATTTTATACTTGGAAATGTTTTAATATATCATTTCTATGTAGGTTCCTCAGATTGTCACTTTTCTTTAAGTTTATTCTGTCAAGAGTATTTGAAGACCTTTATTCAGAAATACTCCCATATTCTAGAGACTCTTGTGTGTTAAACAGTGAATGTGGTCTAACCACATGAGAGAACTTCTGTGTTGTATTATGTGCGACCTGAATAGCAGTTAACTTTCAGATTTCACCTTAGGGATGTAGAACAGAAGCCCAACACAAAATTGTTTCTTTTCCCCCTTTAAATCCTGTATATAGTTAAATGTTCTTAAACTGTTGTTTTTATATTAATTTTCCACTTGATTACTTTGGGATTGAAAATGAAACATGTTGATAACAGTTTTGAACATGAATTATGAAACTTGAACATAATCACCTTTGATGACAGCACTCTTTGAGGTAGCCTGATAGATGCCAACAAAGAAACGGTACTATCAAAAACATAATTCACTGTTTCTCTCTTCACAGCAAAGTTCCTGCATTCGTCAGGATGATTGCTCCAGAGGGCTCCTTGGTGTTTCACGAGAAAGCCTGGAATGCATACCCCTACTGTAGAACAAGTAAGCCTGATTCCTGGCAGCCATTCCACTGCTCTGCCCCACTGCTGATGAGGAGATGGACTCCTGGTGCTGATGCCTTTGAGAAGGCATCTTCTCCCGGACTGCATGGCCCACAGGCAGGGAGGGCAGGGCTCCGAGTGTCCCATTAAAGAGACCATGTTCTGACAGTGGGCATACTTGCAGCTGGGCCAGGGCACAGGGTGAGGTGGGGGTGTGGGCGGGAACCCCTTACTAAGGAGACTCGGCCCCCTTCTGTCAGGGGCCTTCTCTTTCATCTTGCAGCTGTCCTCTTGAGTCTGAACCCCCAATGAGGGGCTGGGGAGAACCCTAGAGACCAGGCATGGATGAGGAATCCTGGAAACAAAACCAATTAAAATACGTTTCAAACCCGTTAAAAAAAAAAAAGCCCTCTGTGGGTTCTTGGGTAGTCACTGCAGGTGCTGTGGCAATGGAGAGATTTCTCTGGGTTCCTTCCCCTAGACCTTTGTGAAGGACATTAGTTCATTCCCAGATGAGAGCCACTTGAGGTCCTTGCTGACCACTTTGGCTCCAGGGGTGAGACCTGAAAGGTTACCCACACTCTAAAGTGTCTTTTGGTATAGTTTTAATAATATTTTTCTCATATTGCCACATATAATAGGGGAAGAATATAGCAGATTTCTGAAGCAGTTTCCTGTTGTTTGCTTAATTGGCCTTCAAATTGAATGAACTATTGCTTTTGTGACATTATTCTACCATTGTTTTAAAATTATTGACTCTATAACCTAAGGTACCCTGTAGTGTCACTTCTGTAGAAACTTTTGCAGACATTAGTTACTAAATGCTTTGTGATTTTGGGTAGTTTAATCATCATCATGTTAAATAATATGATAGATTGTTTTGCCATTGATTAATATTCTGAAATTTTTCCCCTTTTATTGCCCACCTGTCCATTATGCCTCAGTTGTAACGGTGAGTAAAACTATTTTTGTGTCACATACTCTTAATCGTCAAATTTTGCTTTACATAGTAATTATTTTCAGTCATTCCTTGCTTTTTAAATTAAAGCTACCCATCACTGCATGGCTCCTCCTCTGTGCTCTTTTCACCAGCCCACACTCCACCCCATGTTCCCAGTGTTAATGGGTTTTTTCCAGCCTTGTCTCAAAATCTCCCTGTTGACTTTATTTTGCTTGTGCTACTTCTTTTGAATGCCATATTTGCTCACCAAACCTCCCAGCTTCTTTAATATTAGCCCTGTATGCAGCATGACAAGTAGAGTAGTTTAAATTATTTAAAAGCATGCATTTGGTTTCCCTGATAAGTCTATAAAAATAGGTAGCTAATGATTCTTTGTCACTTGAGGATCAGTCTTATAGAGTCAAAGCACGGATGCTTATGCTGGGGAAGGCTCCCACAGACAAAAGCCCCAAAGAACTGGTGAAAGATCACTGTCATTTTGCTGTTGTGTTTTCTGCAGAATGAATATATGAAAGATGATTTCTTCATTAAAATTGAAACATGGCACAAACCAGACTTGGGAACATTAGAAAATGTAAGTTTCAACTCTGGGCTTTCAGTGCAGTGACCCTTGGAAATGGGAATACTATAGTCCATTTTGTCATCACCAGAGTGATGCCAGCTACAGGAGACCGGTACCTGAACACACCAGGGCATGTCCATTTATAGTGAGGCAGGCAAGCAACCAGCAACTAACGGGGCTTTCCCTGTCGGCCCCCTTGCCTTGGTGAGAGAGTGGACTGTGGGGAGAGTTGTTTTTATCAGCTCTCTTTATCTGGGACAGGTAGCGCAGAGATAAAATTCATAGACAACCCCCAAACCGATTTAGCCATTAATTTTAGATTTCTTTCATGTTTTCATTTCTGTATGTTTGTCAGAGCTACTCTACAAGGCAAAATTGACTGCTTTAGTTTTCACCTCCACTCTGCTGGATTAATGTCAGACGTGGCCAAAAAGCGAGAGGGAGGAGCAACTTTGAATATTTTACAAAAATGTTCTAATTTTTACAAGTTGGTGCACATTTATCCCTCCAATAAATTTCAGGAAAATCATTTAAGACTCAGTGTAATCATTAATTTTTGATACGGTATTTCGGATAACTTGGGAAGGCATCTGGTATTGATGTCTTGGCCTAGTGGCTGTCAAAAGTGTGGTCTGTGGACCAGCAGCAGCATCTGGGAGCTCCTTAGAAATGCAGATATTCTCAGCCCTCACCCCGTACTTACTGAATTAAAATCCCTGAGGGTGCGGCCCAGCATGCTGTGTGTTGTGGTGCACGCTCCAGTTTGAGAGCTCCAGTTTGAGAACTACTGTTCCAACCTCGTGATGTGCTGTTATAGGAGAGTAAGTTCATGTTGTGGTGGATTCCGCTTTTATGTGATTGGTGCCAATTAATAGAACTTTTGAAATATAATTGGTAGTATTTGACTTGAATTTTTCTTCCAGGTGATCATTCGACATTTCATGTTTTTTTCACACTAATTCTAAAACTTAGAATCTAAATGAAGATTATTGGGTAGGCTTTGGTCTGTGTATGAGTTGATCTGCCTTTTCTAGCTTCCAAATGGACATATCTTTGGTAGTTTGTAAACAGTTCTTAATTGGTTCAGAGAGTTTTAGAAATAAATGATTAAACATGAGGAATTGATATCCTACAAAACTGAAAAGCTTTAGGGTAATCAAATTCAAGATAGGTTTTAAACCTCACAGTGCAGCTTTTTGAAATCTAATTATAATGTCACCTTATGTTTGGCTAGGACTTAAGGGTTATCAAGACTTGGTCCTGTATCGTTGTACTAAACACAGGTTACGTACATTCTGTCAAATAACTTCTCTTTAAGGACTGCCAGGAAATAATGGTGACAGATTTCTGTTAATCTGGCAGCATCCTCACACCTGCTCCATTTATTTCTTAGGGATACAGGGTTAACAGAAGATATCTAGATTCCTTAAGACTTCAGACCACTAATTCAATGAAGTAGCAATTTGGAGTTTTTGTATTCCTCATAATGTACTCTTAAAGACTCAGATAAAGATTATTAATGTAAGTGTAATAGTTCTGCCTAGTAAGAATAGTCTACAGTTTGTTGTGTTTTATTTCTCTTTGTCATTTACAGGTACATGGTTTAGATCCAAACACGTGGAAAACTGTTGAAATTGTCCACATAGATATTGCAGATCGAAGCCAAGTTGAACCAGCAGTAAGTACTGCATACTACTCAATGACATTTTAACCTGTTGCCTCTTACATCTAGAAATGATCTTCTTTCTCTCTTGTATGGCCTGCATTTCTACACTGCAGTGAGCCTGGAGTTTGGGCATGGGTCTTGTAGCAAAAAGACCAGAGAGTAGGAGAGAAGGTTATTTGGTTTTTTTGTTTAGATTTCACCTTTGCACAAATGATCCCTTTGAGAAATCCTAGTAAACCTGAGAAATATAGCGGTTTGCTTTCATTGTGGGGAAAAAAGACTAGCATTATTTTTTAAAGGAATTCTCCCTTGGGCTTCTATAAATAATGTGGGTCCCTTATACATTTAAAGTATGATTAAGAAAGCTTAACAGTTGTGCAGTTTTCTACTCTTGATTTTTACTGGATGTAAATATTCGTACTCAAGGCTTTTGACTTAATAACCACCCCTTTGCCCCCCGACCTTCAACAAAAATGAAGACCTGTGTTCTCTCAGAGTAAGATCCTTGTATCACTTTGCTGCAGTTTGAAAATATGAACTCAGTTCTTAGAATATGCTGGTGCTGCTTGGTTTTGCAGGGCATAGTTGTGGATTTTTTCTATGTAAAGACAGCCAGTGACCCTCTTTATGCTAGTCTAGAGAGCAGAAGTTTTGGAATAAGAGTTCTCTGTCATAGTAAAGCCCAGTGTGTTTATTTAGTATTTTTATTTCGTGACCTTTCCATTTCATTTTCATTGCTCATTGTCTGAACATGAGCAGTGTTACAAGCCAAACAAAAATAACCCAAACATAAATGTCTGATTTTGCTATTGAGATTTAAAAGTAAACCTTCTAAAACAGTGGTCTCCCACCTTTTCTCTGAAATCACTGGGGTTGAGACTGCCAGCAGTGATTCTGCTAGGACCCCCTCTCTGATTAGAAATGTGAGCACTGCTAATGAGGGACCCTTGTCATAGGACTTCAATTTTAGTTGTGCTGTGATATGACGTTACTTCAATTTTATGGATAATTCCACTTTTGAAATTATCTAGGACTTTTTTTTTTTAGTCCTCAGAAGTGAATATACTGTTTTATTTATTTTTTAAATTTTATTTATTTATTCATGAGGGACACAGAGAGAGAGAGAGGCAGGCTCCATGCAGGGAGCCCGATGTGGGACTTGATCCCAGGACTCCAAGATCACACCCTGGGCCAAAGGCAGGCGCTCAACCGCTGAGCCACCCAGGCGTCCCTATATACTGTTTTAAAAACAACATTCAGATATCTGATTCGCTCTTTTATTTCTCTGTCTTTTCCAGCCATGTTTATTGAACATGAAAGAATTGTGGTGGTAGGAGGAAAAATCCTGGGAGTAAGCAATGAGTGAGTTCGTTAATGGGCTAGGTCAGGATATTCTACGTGCTTGGACCAACAGGTCACAAGATAATGCTGAGCAGCAGTATGGGTGCCCCAGGGAAGGCATTCAAGTTATATTGTTGGTGTTTGAAAAAGTTGTGCTGGCCAGACAAAACAATCGGATCTTGTGGTTCATGGGTTTGCATTCCAGGTTGTTCTCCAGCAGAATACAAGGCACCTTTGGTTTTGCTGGGTTCATAAGAGTAGTTCTTTGTTCTTATTCTCAGGCTAAACTGGATGCTCAGTCAGTGTTTGCAGGCATGAATGCAAGTAGATAGAACAGTTAAGGCCAATTGTGCAAGAGCCCTGGAGGCTCCTGGTCTCATTCCTTCCACCCCAGCCTAGACCAGTGAGGAGAGAAGGAACTGCTGGCCTCGAGGGGTGTGACAATAGCACTGGAGATTGGTGTTCCAGGTATAAGGCACTGCACACGCATAAGGCTGAGCGGATGCTTCCCTGCGTGGAATGCTCTTTGGGATGGATATGTAGGGAAAGAAGGGATTGGACCCGAATGAGAACTGTCTGTACTGTGAGTCCATGGAACTGTGACTAAAAGCATACATTCTGAAATTAGATCAGCTTCGGATTCTCAGGTTCCACCACCTGCTGGCTATTCAGTCTTGGATGGGTTGCTATGTGCTTTTTTAAATTTATGTAATGGGGCTAGTTATCTCACAGCATTCAATGTGAGCACTTAGAGTAGCGCCTAGTTTCCTAAATGTTCACCAGGATTGGCATCATGATTGGCCATAGTTGTGCAGGAGTTCTGAGAACTATGTTCACACCAAGCATTGTTTGGGAGTAAATAAGTAGGTATGTGTGGTTTTGTTTTTCAGTGTTCCGAGGTCCTGTTTCCAAGTTTCATTGTAGAGATTAGTAGTAAGACACAAACTTATTTTAACGTTGACTGAATTTTATTTTATTTTATTGTGATGAAATACACATAGCATTTACCATTTTAACCATTTAAAAATCTACATAGTTCAGTGACATTTAGTACAAGTACCTTTACACCATTGCTACTGTCCAGTTCCAAACATTTCATCACTCCAAAAGGACACCCTGTACCCACATGTAACAGTCATTCTCTACTCCTCCCTCCCTCCCAACCTTTGGCTACCACTCCACTAAGCTGTTTTGTGGAGTTAACTGTGCTGGGTAATTATGGAAGTGGAATCATAGCAATATATGATCTTCTGTATCGATCTATTTTACTTTAGCATGTTTTCATCCCCCCTGTGGTGTGTGTCATTACTTCATTTCTCTTTATGGCTGATAATAGTCCAGTGTATGAATATACCATTTTTTGTTTATGCGTTATCTGGGGAGGGAGTTTTGGGTTGTTCTACCTTTAAGCTGTTGTAGCTAGTGCTGCTGTGAAAAACCGTGTCACAGTAGTTATTTATTTAGTATTTATTTATTTAACTGAGTTTTCTCAGTTGTGAATACTAAAAGTACAACTGATACCATTTAGGGATTCTTAGACCTTCTCACGTAAAAAAGGAACCCAGACATACACAGTGACTGGTGCAGAAGGGAACTCTGTGTGCTAGGGGGCGAGGGACCCCTGGGCAGTGTTATAGCCTGAGGATGAGAGCTGGAGCATTGAGCTGCCTGAGGATGTGTGAAGGCTAAGTGGGGACCGAGGGGCTGGTGGGGGCGGGGGGGTTGTAGGGCCAGCACCCATTCTGGTGAGGAAGTAAGGAAGAGACTTAGTGGGGCAGGGACTCTGAGTCTGCCCTTTTCTTCTGCTTGTCCTCTTCTTCCCATGCTTTTGGCATAAACATTCACCCTGACAGTCTCCCTTTAGGTTCTACCCCATTTATTTTTGGCCTTGAATAGTTAATGTTTATCCTAGGAATTAGTATCTAATGCAAACACCCAGACCACCTGGCCATCATTACTAGATCCAATTTGGTTTTCACTTTCTATAATCGATGATTTGTTCATTTGATTCTGCTCCCCCCCCCCCTTTTTTTTTAAGATTTTATTTGTTTGAGAGATTGAGAGAGAATGCATACAAGCAGGGGGAGGGGCAGAGGGAGAGAGAGAATCTCAAGCAGACTCTTGCTGAACTCAGAGTCCCACGTGGGGCTCAGTTTCACAACCCTGAAATCATGACCTGAGCTGAAATCAGGAGTCAAGACACTTAACCAGCTGAACCATCCAGGTGCACCTTGATTCTGCTCTTTAATGTTCTTTGAAAATTTTGGTGCGTGGTGTTGGGAAAAGGAAGCTGAAGCACACATTTGCAGTTCTCAGATGACAGTGCTGTCAAAGCAATCGAGTGCCTGCTTAGTCTGTGGTGCAGGAGTAGCCCTGCAGTAGCTATCCAAGATGGAGATAGAACCTTTGAGAGGGTTGCAATCCGGGTGAGACAAGCCTAGCACAGTGAAACAGTGAACAAATGGCAGAGGCCTATGTACGGTCCAAAGTGCTGCGGGATATCAGAGGAAAGAACAAACAATCTGTGAAGACAAAAATCTGGGAAGACTGAATGGAAGAGTTGTAACATGAGAGAAAGTATTCTTAACTTTTGTCTCTCCAGCTTCTAGAAGAGTGCCTGAACTGTATAGTAGGTGCTCAGTGAATGAATGTGGTGTAGGCAAGCAGAAGTGCAGGAGTGTTACCGGACACTGAGAGGAGAGTTGGAATAGTTTTTAGAGTTGAAGGGGACCTGAGATACCCAGGCCTCATTGCCTTCAAACTATGCTCTACGTAATCCTAGGAATTTCTTGGCACTTACCAGTTTCTCAGGCTGTCACGATGGAGTGACTAGAACACAGATCTGAGGAGTTCCCTCTGTCCCCCTCTCCCAGCACAGTCTGCCTCTCTCATATTAGTTTTCACTGTACAGTATACTTTGAACACATGGTTCCATAGCTATAGAAAGTTGGACTTCAGGGCTAACCACTTGGTTTTACAAGTGAGAAAACTGAAGCCCAGATATAAACTAGTTTCTCTCAAGGTTATTTAGCCAGCGCCAGAAGTGGGAATTGTCTCAGTCTGGTGATCTTTCTACAGACTCAGGTCCTTCAGAGCTTCACAAGGTTACGTGGTTAGAGATAGATAAAAAAGAGTATTATAGGATGCTTCCATTTGTAATATAAAAGGGGAAAAAAGCGGGGACGCCTGGGTAGCTCAGTGGTTTAGTGCCTGCCTTCAGCCCAGGTTTTAATCCTGGGGTCCCAGGATCAAGTCCCACATCGAGCTCCCTGCATGGGGCCTGCTTCTCTCTCTGCCTGTGTCTCTGCATCTCTCTCTCTCTCTTTGTGTCTCTCATGAATAAATAAATAAAACCTTAAAAAATAATAAAAAACTCACTGGTGGTATTTTTTTTTTAAAGTAATGTAATTTAAAAAAGAAAAAAATGTATTTATAGGCATGTACTTGATTGCTCATGTGTAGACAGTCTAGAAGAATGTGTAAGATGGTAGGAAGAGTGATTCCTTCATGAACGGTAGTGAGGGATGGCTGGGGAACGGGGTGGAAGAGTCGTGGTCTGTCAGAACCGTGTGCAATGAATTGGGAAAGTCCTCCTCTCGCTTCGTGTATCCATTTGCTATTGCTGCATGATAAATCACAAACTTAGTGGCTAGAGTAATGCAACCTAATCA